AAACTGTAAATTTAATTTTAAAAAAAAAATAAAAAAAAAAAAAGGAACAACCTCCTCCTTGGATGCTATTTACTTTCATTCACACTACATAAAATAGAGTTCACAAATGGAATGCTCTAGTTCAATGCAACCAATTGAGCACTACTGTGTACTGGTATCAGACAATCTAACATGTTCTTCACCATCTTTCATCTGTGGCACATCTATAAACTTCTGTGTTGACATGACTAGCCAGAGAAAATATCACAAGTTACAACAGGTTTCAAATATCACCTTTACACCAGTATGAATGTGAAAAGACAAACTGAACCACAAGTTGGAGCCATATGCATGTACACAGCCATTCACTTTTCCAACAAATATTTACGGAACATTTATTATATGTGTTGATACACACAGACGCACACACACAGACACACACACACACTATAGATTGCCTAGACATCAAAAATATACTTGAATTAGACAAGTTTATATAATTTTTTCTCTACTTTATTTTTCTTAATGTCATTTTTTCCTCATTCTTCCTAACTCAATTACATTTACAAGTGGTAAGTGATATAATATAAATTTGCCATATTCTAATTAATTTAGTGACTGTATTTGCAGTTTTTCATTTTAAATATTTTTCGTGTGTGTTGGATTGAAGCTACTATAGTTTCTGAAGACAAGATATCTTAGTTCAAGGGGGTTGGAGAGATGGCTCAGCGGTTAAGAACACTGACTGTTCTTGCAGAAGACCCGGGTTCAAATCCCAGCACACACATGGCAGCTAACAACTGTCCATAACTCCAGTTACAGCTTCTTCTGTCCTCCATGGGCATTGCCCGGCACAGGTGCACTTTCTTACATGCAGGCATAACACTCATACACATTTAAAAAAAAAAAAAAAAAAAAGATATCTTAATTCAAGCCCCACTCTCACAATTTATTAGTTGTATTGTTTTTACCACTTTTTTTTTTTTCTGAGTCTCTATGGATTCAGCTTCCTTGTCTGTAAAATAGGGATGGGAGTAATGCGGGTTGCTATGAAGAAAAAAAATGGGTGCATATTAAATGATTGGAACACAGATCAAGTGCTCAACATGGCAATATGTTAGCTATTGTTATTCTGATTTTAGCCTCTCTTGCTAAAGGCCACTCTCATTATTTTAAAACACGTGCAACATAATTTATCAAAAAAAAAATTAAAAAAAAAACTTCTGTGTTGTAACTGTTCAAAAAAGTTCGGAGGCAGAAGCAGGCAGATCTTTGTGAGTTCAAAGCCAGCCTGGTCTACATAGCCAGTTCCAGACCAGTCTCAAAATGACAAGAAAAGAAAAAAAAAAAAAATTTCTGAAAAGTATTAGAAGCATAAGTATAACAACTAGTAACAAACAACTATAAATAACGGCCTTGGGCCTAGTCATCATCTCATAAACATATTCCACCAATTAATACCATGTACAGTATTAACTACACTTTGCTCTTTACTGACAGAATATAATATAAAAGGAATAGAGAAGTCATACATTTATACTTGTAATTTCTATTTTCTACTTTTATGCTAAAAATTGAACTGGGAGTTTAATGATATACCAAAATCCTAACACTCAGTGATTTTCTTTCTTTTTTAAAATTCTGACTTATTTTTATTTGTCTTGACTGCATGTGTGTGAATGTACCTGAACACACAATGTCCATGAAGGCCAGAAAAGGGCTTTGAATCTCTTAGAACTGGAGTTATGGACAGTTGTCAGCTGCCATGTGGGTGCTAGGAACTGAACCTGAGTCCTCTGCAAGAGCAGCCAGTGCTCTTAACCACAGAGCCATCTCTTCTCCAGCTCTCATGGTCATTTTCTTTCTTTCTCTTTTTTTTTAATTTTGGTCTTTTTTTTTGAGACAAGGTCTCCCTGTAGTGTAGCCCCAGCTGTCCTGGAACTCACTATGTAGAACAGGCTGGCCTTGAACTCACAGAGATCCGCCTGCCTCTGCCTCCTGAGTGCTGGGATTAAAGGCATGAGCCACGAAGCCTGGCTCATGGTCAGTTTCTTAAATGGCATCTAACATGCTACCTGCAGATCCTACAAATATTAGTTTTAATTCAAAACATGAGAATTAAGCCAGTTTTCATTCAAGTTTAATAGTAAGAAAATAACCTACAGCCAGGTAGACATACCTTAAAAAAAAAAAAAAAAAAAAAAAACTCTGCTAAAGTCTTAACAAAATACAAGCATGTTTCCTAAGTTTTATAAAAGCTATACAATAAAGTATATTCTAGAGCCAGGAGACATTTTTTCAGGGCATCCTGTTAGTCAATTTGATCAATCACAATACTCACAATTTTCACACTCAGGCTGGAAACTCCATGATCATGTAGTTCATCTTCAAACAGAAGAACTTCTTCAAAAAATTTAATCTGCTCTCTGGCTTTCAATTTCTCTGTATCTATGTGGTCCGTTGTAGGTACAACCTGAAAGATAAAATTTTTAATACTTTTTTTAAGTGTAAAGAGCTAGAGTCACAAAAAAATGTGTTTTCTTATCACTTTTTGCTGCATAAAAAGAGCATGCGGCTCTAAGTTTGGATGCCATTTGTAGGCATTAAAGATTAGAATGTGCCTTGACTCTGAAAACCTTAAGACACTATAGATGACTGATACTGTAACTCTAAAAAATAGACTAAAAATTCATCATCTTTCAGACTAAAATTAACCATTCTGTTGTGAAGAGAAAAATCAACTGACGTTTAATGTGAACATAAAAGATAAATGCAGTTTCATGCTATTAAATATAGCATGTATTTATATACTATACTTGCAAGTATTCATTTGGAACTTTAAAAAATATTTTTCCCATTAGAATGTTATGTACCTTAGGTATTAGAGAGAGCACTTAGTCAGTACAGTGCTTGTAGCACAAGTGTGAGGACCTGAGTTCCAGCACCAGAACTCATATAAAAAAGCCAGGTAAAGTGGCTTGTGAGTGTAGTCCCAATTCCGGGGAGGCAGACGGATGCATCGCTGGTACTCTTTGGCCACTCAGCCAAACCAAATTAGTGAGCTCCAAGCCAATGAGAGACCCCAAAACCAAGGTGAACACCACCTGAGGAACACACCCCAGGGCTGATCTCTGGCCTCTGTGTGTACGAGCACATACACAAACACACACATACACACATAAATTTTTTAAAAAGAAAAGAATGTTATATATCTTAGACTCCCAACCTAACTCTTTAAAACCTATATGCAGGGCTGGTGAGATGGTTCAGTGGGTAAAAGGTGCTTGTTATACAAGGTTAGTGACCTGAGTTCGATCACCAGAACCCACATAAAAGATTCCATACAGTTGTCCTCTGATGTCCACACACACACACACACACACACACACACACACACACACACACACACACACAATCATGCATGCACAATGAATAAAGCCTTTGCTGGGCAAGTCTGACCTGAATTTGAATCCCCAGAACCCGTGTAAAGCTAGGCATGCTCTCATAGGTCTGTAATCCTGGTGTTCTGGTACACAACACCCCCCTCCCCAAATGAGAGAGACATGGAGAAAGAGAGAGAGAGAGAGAGAGAGAGAGAGAGAGAGAGAGAGACAGAGAGAGACAGAGAGAGAGACAGAGACAGAGAGACAGAGAGAGAGACAGAGAGAGACAGAGAGAGAAATAAAATTACTTTTCCAAGCTGGTAAATGATACTGATTTGAACCAAAGACTATATTCTGCCAAAGCTTGAGGACACCACCAAAGAGAGGGTAATCACACTGACATTTATCAGCAACACTTTAGAAGAAATATTACAGGAGAAAGTGTCAATAAGAGAATGCTGGGGCTAGAGAGATGGCTCAGCAGTTAAGAACAGTGGCTGCTCTTACAGAGGACCCAGGTTCCGTTCCCACATGGCAGCTGACAACTCTCTTTAACTTGTTCCAAGGGATCCAATGCCCTCTTCTGCCCTCTGCACATGGTGCACTTACACACATGCAGGCAAAACACTCATACACAAAATAAAAATAAATCCAAAAAGATTTACTAAGAGAAACTAAGCAGAGTTTTGCCCTCCTCCTATCAGTCTCCCTGTCTCTATTGCCAAGTTCTTGCTCCTGATGCTAATGCAGCTTTTCCCAAGTGAGTCCACAAAGTACTCATCATCATTAATGCATAAGGTTTAAAAACAAAACAAAACAAAAAAAACCCATTTCCTCATTCCTGGCAATGAAATATGAAATTACCTAAGCGCTCTGCAAACTTCTTCAATCAGAAGAGAGGGTACGGAATTCTAGTCTGTGAAATTCTATAAGGAAATAAAATCATCTTGCTCTCTCATTAGACTATAAAGGAGAGGATTTTAATCTAGTCTATCCTATACCATTAGCTTCTAGAGTCAGTGCCTACATGTTTGTTCACAGGTAAAATTCTAAGTTATTAGCTAGACATTCTGTCTAAATCATCTAATACATTACTAACGGCAGATGCTTCTTGACTACACTGTTAACACTAAGGCCAACCACACTTTAAGAATACTGTTCCCAGGGCTGGAGAGATGGCTCAGCAGTTAAGAGCACTGGCTGCTCTTGCAGAGGACCCGGTTTCGGTTCCCAGCATCCAAAAGGCAGCTAAGAACCATCTGTAACTACAATTCCAGAGGATCCAACGTCCTCTTCTGACCTCCTTAGGCATTGCACGACATGGGCACACTTACATACACACAGGCAATATACTCATACACATCAAATAAAAATAAATAATAATAAATAAGGCCAGGCATGGTGGAGCACGCCTTTAGTCCCAGCACTTGGGAGGCAGAGGCAGGCAGACCCCTGTGAGTTTGAAGCCAGCCTGACCTACACAGCGAGTGCCAGGCCAGCTGGGGCTACAGGGAGACCCTGTCTCAAAAAGACCAAAAGAAAAAAAAAAATTGAAACAAATAAATAAAAACTTTAAGAAGCAAAATCCCCTCACATTAGGTACTAAAGCCTGCCACAACCAAAAATAAGCAGGATGAGAGTAGTGGGGAAAAAAAATTCCAGAGAGTTCTAGTGCTGAGACAATCCATGAAAACTAATGATTCATAAAACCAAAAGTTAATATTTACCTTCAACTTAAGAGATTCTCCAAGTAATGTTCCTTTATAATCTGTCGTATAGGTCCAATCATATGGCTTAATAACTTCTTTGGAGTGTTCACCTTCCGTCCTCAAATACCAGATGAGAAGGATGAGGGTTAGTGAGGCAGAATACAGATGATCAGTGCTCATACACACACCAAATTACATTCTACGTGTAACATGAAATATCCTACTGAATAGGCATATAATATGAAATACCCCACGAAACATATATACCTGTCACTCACTAGCAAAAGACTGTTCTTACAGATTTTCTGCACATTTACTGTTATTGAACTTGTCATGTGAGTATGTAGTCTTTCCAAGTAGTCTGTACACTGCCTGAGGATATGATTTATTTTGTTTTCAAGACAGGGTTTCCCTGTAAGCCCAACTGGCCTGGAACTAGATATGTAGACCAGGTTGGTCTTGATCTGAGAGATCTGCCTGCCTCTGCCTCCAAAGTGCTGGGATGAAAGGCGTGTGCCACCACATCAGTCGAGGAGATTATTTAAAGCCTTATATTTCTTTAGGTCCTCCAAAGCACTAGTATACAATAAACAAAAAATAAATAATTGCTGCTTTGACTACCAAATACATTTTTCTTACTTTCAATACTCCACAAATATTCAATGCAAATCACAAAAAACATTTTTCTTTAAAATAGAATACAATTTACTAACTCAACTGAGGAACTGAAGATTTGAAAGAGCACATCCTACATAGCTCAGCTCCACTGTATTTCAACTGAACTCCAAAAATACTCTAGTAGCAAAATCAACCTTTATCTTAAAGCTAGAAAAGTGAATTTTAGAGCCTAACTGTAAAGTTTAATAATATAAGCACTTTATTTTAGTAGAATATAAACATCCTTACTGGCTCTTCTTTAACTCCTAACTGCCCAGATTCTCACCTACTTTCCTGCCACTCTTCAGCACAAGCTACTTTAAGCATTCCTTGGTAGTTGTTTACACATCTTAGTGCGTCTGTAGCATTGAACTCAATTCCAAAGCCAGAGCCATGCTGGATCCTTAAAACGTTGTCTCCAAACATCATTTCAGGGAGAGATGGCATATGCAATTCATCAGCTAACCTACACATAACCAAAAGTCACGTGAGATTAGGGTTTTTTTTTATTTTTATTTTGGTCTTTTTGAGACAGGGTCTCCCTGTAACCCCAAGCTGTCCTGGAACTCACTATGTAGACCAGGCTGGCCTTGAACGCACAGAGATCTGCCTGCTTCTGCCTCCCAAGTGCTGGAATTAAAGGCGTGTGCCATCACACCCGGCCAACATAATTCTTTTGACTTTACAGAACAAGTTAAAAAGCATATGATTTAATAAACATGACATATTTAAAAAATCTATAAAATGTTTTCATCACCTATTCTTTCATAATCAAATCTTTATGGCTCTATATTAGGTAAGACAGATAAATACATAAATATGTAATATGTCAGCTAATGGTTAAGTGACACATAAAACAAAGCAAGGTAACTCATAGGGAACACTATTTTATGATCAAAGATCAATTCTGAAACACTGATATTTGATCCTTAAAACCCCGGAGAGTTTAATCAGATAACTCAAGATTATAGAAATGCTAGTGGTAATGTCTGGCCTTTATCCAATGGGATAGACTGTGTGCCTGAGTTGGGTGGCCTCACTACAAGACTAAAAATGTTGTGTTAGCCAGGGGTGGTGGTACATACCTTTAATCCCAGCAAAGACAGGTGGATTTCTGTGAGATTGAGATCAGCCTGGTCTACATAGTCAACTGGGAAAACTCTGTCTCAAAAGAAAAAGGGGGTATATGAGCTATACCGAAAGGCCAATATCACAAGTTAGCAATCCACAGATATGTTTTGGGGCACCATGGCCAGCAGTTAAATGCTCTTAACTAATAAGCAATCTCAGCAGCCCCACAAGTACACTTGTTAATACTGCATAATAAATACAAAAAAGAAAGTCGGGTGTGGTGGTGTACACCGTTAATCCTAGCACTTGGGAGGCAGAGGCAGGGGGATCTCTGTGAGTTCCAGGCCAGCCTGGTCTACATAGGGAGTTCCAGGCCAGGTGGGGCTACAGGGAGACCCAGTCCCAAAAAGATGAGAGAGAGTGAGAGAGCAAGAGCATGCACGAGAGAGAGAGAGAGAGAGAGAGAGAGAGAGAGAGAGAGAAGATAAAAATAGCAATTCAATTGTTAGGGCAAAGAGACATTTTTCTTCTTCCTGACATCTTCAATGTGGTTATAATTAATTATAAAATGCAATAGTTTAAATATGCTGTGAGTAAAATTCTAAGGAATGCTAAATAAAGGGCAAGATCCAAGTACCAATGCTCCATGACAAAAGCTTTCTTCTCCTTTTTCCTTGTTAAAACCTCTGGATTTTTGCCAGGCGTGGTGGCGCACGCCCTTAGTCCCAGCACTCCCGGAGGCAGGGGTAGGTGTATCTCTGTGAGTTCAAGGCCAGCTGTGGCTACAGGAAGACAATCTCAAAAAAAACTAAAGATAAAAATAAAACTGGGTTTTTGAACAACTAAATAGTTATCATTACTAGGTAAGGTAAAATAAATACCATATTAAAGAATATATTCTTACAAGAAAGACAAAGAAGGGGCTAGTTGGGAATAAGAGGATTTGCAGGAAAAGGAGGGGACAATAAAAGGCAGCAGAAGGGGTCATGAATATGATTCAAATACATGCTAGGCATGTAGGAAAATGTCATAATAAAACTCATCATTAAGTAATAATATATGCTAATAAAACATTTTAAAAGGGTATACTCTTACATAAAAAGTCAACGAAAGATCTATGCATAATTTCTAATAGCTTTAAATTTATTTCTAATTAGACATACCAAGCAAGTCTTTGTGTAATACATTAAAAACAAGCAATTAAAAAATCCTATAATCAAATAAAATAAGTTAGGTTTTTAGAGGGAAGAAATAGAGCTCCTGATGGGAAACATCTACCTCATTTCCGGATCATCAAAGGCCTATGACATTAAAAAACAAATTTTAATTCTATAATGACCACCTAGGAGATGACAATGTCGTATTCTCCCATGTTCCCATAAGTGCTGTGTAAATTTTTTGTTCTTACACAACAGTATCAATAACAGCTATGAAGCAAAGAACAGAAAGCCTGTCACTTGTAGAAAAAAACTGTTCCAATAAAATTCTGGTTCTTAGATAAAAAGATGCAGCAGCACTGGACAGTGAGTGGGGAGGGAAGCCAGCTTCCAAGGACCTGGCCAGTTTACACTCCACCCTAAGGCAACAATTGAGCAAAACATTCCAACAATTAGATTTATTCTTTTTGATTCAGTATGTCAGCTTTGGGATATCTGTACAAAATAATCCCCAAAACATAGAGGGAAAATTCATACACATCAACACTCAACCTTTGTTTTGTTTTGTCTGCGGGGAGGAGTTGAGACAGGGTCTCCCTTGTGTCATCAGCTGGCCTGGAACTTGTTATGTTCACCAGACTGGCTTGGATTTCAGAGGTCCACCTGCCTCTGCCTCCTGAGTGCTGGGATCAATGGTATGCACCACCACACACAGCATAACCTTTGTAATAGTGAAAAAGAAATACTCTGAATGAATTTAGGTAAAATTTATCCTTTATTAGAAGATGGAAAATATTAAATTTAAAAAATAAAATGCAACAAAAGATCGATATATATTTCATAAGATTCTGTAAAATACAGATTTTTAGTTACTTTATTGAATTATACCAAATATAAAATGTGATTCCATGGGTTTTATCCAATTAATCTGGAAAAATCTAGTAGTTCTACAAAATATTCCAGTTAAATGTGTAAAAGAATTACTGTTATTAATGGGCTAGAGAGATGGCTCAGCAGTTAAGAAGAATGGTTGTTCTTGCAGAAGACCCAGGTTCAAATCCCAGCACCCACATGGCAACTGTCCATAACTCCAGTCCCAGGGGTTCCGACAGCCTCTTCTGACCTCTGCGGGCATTGCACGACAGGGGTGCACTTACCGACATGCAGATACATAAAATAAAAATAATAAATAAAATTTAAAAAAAGAATTACTATTACTGTAATTTGCTTCAAATGTTCTAAATCCAAAGTATCTTAAGCACAGACCCAAATATTCCATTTCTAACACAGAGCTTCACTTTTAACAAAGAGACATAACCAGTTACAGAAGCAGTAGATAGAACAGGCCTAAGGTTTTAAGTAGTCGTTTATTGAAGCCACCCCAATCCAATATCTTACCTAATCAACTTATTTAGTACTCTGGAAATATTCACACCCTAGAAGGATGCATCACATGCCTTTCTTTCGCTGCATAAAAAAGGACTGAGTATACTCAGGCAGAAATAATAGAATGATTATAGATCTGGAATGATTCCCTTAAAACACTCTATGCATAAAATATCTCTTAAGAGTCTACAAGTCAACTATATAAATACCCAAATTTGAAGCTCTTTTATATAGAGCATAACTGTTTATGGTGCAATATATAACAGAAAGTTATGTGACATGGAAAATTTCAGAATAATCCAATCTGGTGTGATAAAGGTAAATTTTTTCCTTTCAGTTTTGTATTTTCTTTTTTTTTTTTAATATACTTATTTTTGTGTGTTTTGCCTGCACGGAAGTGCATCAGTGTATGCAGTGTCCACAGAAGCCAGAAGAGGGCGTCGGACCCCCTAGAACTGGAGTTACAGATGTTTGTTAGCTGCCTCATCCACGTGGGTGCTGGAAACCAAATCTAGTTCCTCTGCAAAACCAGCCAGGGTTCTTAAACGCTGAGCCATCTCTCCAGACCCTTTTGGAATCCTTAATGTTTTCAGTGAGTTTCCAAAAATCTTACTACTTATTGGGTTTTTAAAAGATTTTTAATTTTTTTATTTTATGTATAAGAGTATTTTTCCTATAAGTATATAAGTGAACCGTGCAAGCCTGGCGCATGTAGAGGCCAAAAGAAGATTGTTGGATCCCCTGGAACTGGAGTTAAGGATGGGTCTTAGTCTCGTAAGGATGCTGGGAACCCAGGTCCTCTGGAAGAGAAAGTGCTCTTAATTGCTGAGCCATCACTCCAGCCCCATTGTTGGTGGTTTTTTTACTTAAATAAAAAAAACTAAACATAGGCTGGTATACATCTTTAATCCCAGCACTCCAGGGAAGGAAGATCTCTGTGAGTTTGAGACTGGTCTGGTCTACATAGTGAATTCCAGGCCAGCCAGGACTCCAACGTGAGTGACTTTGTCTAAAAAACAAACAAAAATAAAAAACCCCTAAACACCCTTTTCTTTGTTTTAATATTTATTACTTTTATTTTATGTGTATGAGTGTACTGCCAGCATGTGTGCAATGCCCACAAGTCAGGAGGAGGTGTTGGGTCCCCTGGAACTGGAGTTATGGACAGTTGTTAGCCACTATGTGGGTGCTGGGAACTGAACCCAGGTCCTCTGCAGCCCCTTAAACCCTTTTCTAACTCTCAACTCAATCTTACAGTGTGAGTGCACTCTAGGCGGTCCTCCATCTCTTTATGACCTTTTCTTCTAGATGGTCTTAAGTCACTTCCAAGGTTCCAGGTGCCAACTATAAACTGATGATATCAAAGTTCTACTAAACATCTGCACCTACACACTTATAAACTGATGATATCAAAGTTCTACTAAACATCTGCACCCACACACTTCACATTTAAGTACCTGCCCAACAAGTCAACCCATTTTGGGGCTTTTCTCCTTGTCCAATATCAATGCAACACTTTTTTTTTTTTTTTTTTTTTTTTTTTTTTTGGTCTTTTTGAGACAGGGTCTCCTTGCAACCCCTGCTGGCCTGGAGCTTACTATGTAAACCAGGCTGGCCTTGAACTCAGAGATCCGCCTGCCTCGGCCTCCCAAGTGCAGGGGTTAAAGGCGTATGCCACCACACCCAGCGGGCCCCACCACGACTGGCCAATCCAACACTTTCAACAGCCCAAGCCAGAAATTTATTATCCATAGTCTCCCTTTTTTCTCTCCCCCTATCAATTGGTCATCAAACTCAAGCACTGTAATCTTGGCCTCTCCTATACTCTCTTTTTTACTAACTGGTCTCCTTCCCATCCCTCCAGCACCCCAATCCATCTTCTACAACACTTCCAAATAAGTCTTTCAGACACATCCATAAATGTAGCTCCTCTGGATAAAATTCCACCCGTGATGGTTGTCAGATAAAATTCAAGACACAGCGTGGCAGAGAACTCCCTCAGCAGCTCCTGAGGAGCTCCCCTAGGGCCCCTCTCGTTTCTCACCACCTCACTCATCAACGACCGGGAAACAGTTCTCCAAACACATCACTCTCCCTGGCCACCCCCGAAACTTTGTCAAGATTTAGAGCGGGCTTCCCAAACACCTCCGAGTTCACGCCTGGCTACTGGTTTTACACATCTACCTAGACTTGATCAAGATTCAAGCCCAGCCACCCCAAATTCCCATATGCTTTGAGGCCCCCCACCATCCAAATCGCTGAGTATACACTTCATCCTAAGCAGTCAAACAGTAGTATAACGGGCTCTCAAGAAATTATGAATTCCGTGGGACTTCGTCCGTCATCTACATCTCAAGTGCCCAACACAGCACCTGAGGCGCTGAAAACTAAACATACATGCCATTTCTGTCACTGGGAAGGACACAGATCACGGGAGCCCAGGAAAGTGGGGTAAAAGGAGCCTGGAGGGCAAAGTTCGCCTCAACAGTCTCGCTCCGCTCAACCCGGACAAGTGACAGTTTCAGCAAGCAGAGGTGCGCAGCTGGGGACAGGACCGTTCACTGAGGCTGTCAGTCAACCTTGGATCCCAGGAATCCGCAAACCCGAGCCGGCCCGCTTCCCGCCCGCCTCCCGCGCTTCCCGCGCCCGGACCCCGCAGCCTCACTTCTCCACATCCGCCGACTTCATGATGTGGGTCTTGGCGGCCGTCAGCTTCCAGGGCCCGAAGGAGAAGTCTTGGTGGCTGCTCTGGAAGCCGTGGATCATCATGGCCGAGACGGAGCCGCGGGGTCACACGGAGCAAGCAGCGGCAGTCACGGCCAGCAGTCACGGCCCAGCCTCCCTGTAGCGCAGCCCCTCGGCGCGGCCGTTACCATCCCGTTCCCGCCCCCTGCCGCCGCAGGACCGCCCTTCCGCCTCCTCTTCCGCTTCTCCGCGTTTTGCTTCCGGGACCAGCTGCTAGTGCTGCGTGACCCAGGACCTACGTGTAACGCTGCTGGGCGGGGCCTCCGTCCCAGGGGGTGTGGCCAAGGGGCCGCTCTCTGCATGCTTTGGGTGACGTCAGCTCAGAGTACCGTGTGATGCGAGGGTTTAGGTTGTTGTGCTGGGCCGGCTGTGTTGTCCCTTACAGATTTCTCCAGGCGGTGTAGTTGCACCGTGTGTTTATAAGTCGTAGTGAGAAACTTCCCAGCGGTTTTCTGTTGAGGCCAAAAAGTGGCGTTTAGGAAGCCGAGCACCAACATAATATAGTCGGAGCCTTCGAGTTGACTGATAACTGACTACACAGTGCGGCTCAGGAATAGACCATTTCCCTAGCATGCACGTGAGACCCTATATTTTGTTCTCAATACTGCGAAAAGAAAAAGGGAAAGAAAAAAAAGAACCTTAATATATTTAAATATTTTTCATGGTCTAGCTGCTCCTTGAACACCAGTATAGTGGAAACCCAATGCCTCATCTACGTTTGCAGTGCAACTGTGTGCATCTTTGGGCAAAGCACAACTGATTATTTTAGGCCTCTGCTACCTCAAAATGAGATGGTTTGATGTTGGAGCACCCACCTCTCAAAACTGTGTACCTCCTCTATTCCAACATCTTAGTACTACTACCCACGTTCCACTTAGCCATACATTGAATCTGGCAACCTTTTAAAAATGTGAATTCGCCAGGCCCTGTGCCTTGTACTGAGCTGGAATCATCTGCCTAGTGCCGATGCATTGTCTCTGAAAGACTGCACAAACCTCAGAGGTGGATTGAATCACTTCATCCTGTGACCAAGGTTGATTTTCGTCAATTTCACTTAACACTGGTGAGACTCCAGATAAATATCAAAAACTCGGGTCGTCTATTGGTCAAACTTTTTTTTTTACAAATAGCACTCATAGCTTTCCAGTTAGCAAAGACTGACAATGGGATTATAAGACATTCAAGGATAGCAAGCAGGGCCATCTGCCCTTAAAGTATGTTTCTGCTTCTGGGGTAACAGGCCACTGGTTTGCTTAATCAGTCATTTTATATCTTAGTCTAAGTTGTTTTATTATAAACTTTTCTACAAGTAAATCTTGACAGAGAAGTGCCAGCCACCCTATTCAGAACCGAGGATTTAGTGCTTTCTAAACCTACCTTCTCAAAACATCCCTTTCTGAAATTTTCCTAGACAGAATATAAGACAACTTACTCTTATTTACTCAAATTTTAAAATCTAACAAGCCTGTTACCTCCCATCCAATAATTTGTTGGAAGACTTCAAGACTAATTTAGTTTAAGGTATAAGGAAATGAAGCCGGGCATGGTGGTGCACGCCTTTAGTCCCAGCACTTGGGAGGCAGAGGCAGGTGGATCTCTGTGAGTTCGAGGCCAGCCTGGTCTCCATAGTGAATTCAGGTCAGCGGCCGGAGACCCTGTCTCAAAAAAAAAAAAAAAAAAAAAAAAAAGAAGATATAAGGAAATGAATTTCTCAGGGAAACTTCAAGCACTTACACTTTAGAAAGAGATAACTCTGTCATGGCAGCATATTTTCAGTACCTAACTTAAGTGCATCTATGGAGCAACTGTTTCACAGAGCTGATTCTTGGGATAGAGTAATACCTAGAATGTGAGGGAGGAAAAGGATGTCATGTGTGTCACTAAATCAAACCATTTGCTGTGCAAATCTGTCAAGACTCAATGCTGAAAGCATCCAACTAACCAGTGGATTACTAAGTAGTTATCAAATTTACACATTCAACCTTTTAAATAATATATTTTTATTTTCTGTGTATGAGTGTTTTGTCTGCTTGTATTTAAGTGCACCAAATGCATGAATACCTGTGGAGGCCAGAAGAGGGTGACAGATCCCTTGGAACTAGAGCTGCAGATGGTTGTCAGCCACCATTTGGGTGCTGGGAACAGAGCTCCTGTCCTATAAAAGAGCAAGCAAGTGCCCTTAACCAGTAAGCCATCTTTCCAACCCCAACATTCAATCTCTTTTGTAGTACCTAGTATACTACTAGAAACTTCTTTAGGTACTAAGAATACAGAAGTGAATAAAACATATAAGATCTGTTTCATCTTGAAACTATAATGGGGAAGATATGTAAACAAACACAGAAGTAAACACACTAAAAAATGTTTAGAGTTTCAGATATTCGTAAATTCTGTGCAGAACATTAAATGAATAGAGTAAGAATGTGGGTGATAAACTGGTGTAGACAAGAGCTCCAAGGAGCACTTTCTGTGAATGTTACTCTCGAGCTGATAAGAGGGAAGATCTCATGAGAAAAATCTGGAGAAATAACACTCCCAACAGAGAAAGCACCGGGTATTCAGGTCCAATGGACCAATAGGCATGCCATGTTTTAGGGAGAGCAAGAAGGTCAATGTGGCTGGAGTGCATGGAACTGAGAAAAGTTCAGAGAGGCAGACAAAGGCTAGACCATGTCAGTTTTGTAAGGCATGGTTTATTCTCCAACTACTTCATCAAATTAATTTATCATTTACAAAAACTTTTGTAGAAATCATGAAGGAACTTAGTGTTTTACTAAATAATTTGATTTATGTTTTGCAATAGGTGATTAAAGGTCACTGTTTATATGAGTGAGCATCATGGGCACTAGTGTTTCCAAAAGGTGATGTACACGCAAAATTCACTAGAGTGGAGTGCCTCCTGTTTCCAAGTGTATTGATTTTTTACTTCTATTTCTTTGTATTCTTTATGCACGCATGTTGAATGTATGACATATGCATGTAAATATAGGGTTTATTATATAAGATTTAAAATAAATCATGACATTCATGTTCAATTTTCAGCAGATGCTAATGGCATGTTATCAATAGACTGTGGAGCAATTGGCATAATTGAAGACAGTAAGCTGGGCTAAAGAGAAGAGGACAGATAAAGGAGAGGACTAAGTGACTGAACATAGAGAACAAATATCCTGTGTGTGGCCTGATGATCACAATTACCAAAAGCAAAGAGAGAAATGTGCAAGGAGAGAAGTGGGATTTGCTGAGAACGAGTCTGTGAAAATTGTCTTAAATCTGCTTGGACCCCTTTGATCCCCAACATATGAAACTTCACACAGAATGCACATAAACAATGGATATGAATGTCTACAGTGGCTACCAACACTTCTGAATGAATGGGCTTGGTCCTTTAAAAATCAGCATTCAGGGCTGGAGAGATGGCTCAGCAATTAAGAGCACTGGTTGTTCTTGCAGAAGACCCGGGTTCAAATCCCAGAACCTACATGGCAGCTACGCATGTATTGCCTGCATGTATGTAAGTATATTGTGCATGTATGTAAGTGTATAAGTGTATTGCCTGCATGTATGTAAGTGCACCCATGTCATGCAGTGCTGCAGTGGTCAGAAGAGGGTGTTGGATTCCCCTGGAACTGGAGTTAAGGACGGTTTGTAGCCGCCATGTGGGGACTGGGACTCGAACCTGGGTCCTCTGCAAGAGTAGTCAGTGCTCTTAACCGCTGAGCCATCTCTCCAGCCCCTAAAAAAAATATTTTAAAAAATCAGCATTCAACTATACACTCCATCAGTTGTAATTTGATTTAAGTGTCCATACTGCAGCAGGCAGATTTGGAAATAGATAATAATTTGACTGAATTGCCCATCTACAAGCTTTCATATAACACTTGACTTCTCCCCTTTATTCAAAAGGTTCCAGGTTTTGTGAACTGATTTAGATCTGGGAATTAAGAAAGGGTCATGATTCCATTGATGACTCAAGTTTTTGTTCACTCCGAGTTGTGTTGGTAATACAGGTAAAATAAAACCTTAGCCTGAATATTTCTGACCCAGGGTCCCATCGTCAATTGCCCCTGCCCAAGGTCTCTGTGGATTGATTCATTCTGTCCTTGATTCCTATTATAGTTACTCTATTCACATTGCCTTTGGAAAGTAGAGCATCTCAGCATCTCCATGGAAATGCAGGGGTTCATTCTGAATTATGGAGGATTGTCTACTTTCATTCCTGGCCTACAGAGGCTGGCCACTGAAGCACTTCACAAGGAACCTGGTTCCCCTTTCACTAATGCATTTTATTGTAAAAGTTACATTATCTAAACCTGACAGGTAACTGAGCAAATTATATGTAATAAAATCAATTCCAACATTTTTTGTTTGCTTTATTTTGCTTTCTTTGAGAAAGGATCTCAGGAAGCCTCGACTTGTTTTGAACTTGACGTGTAGCCAAGGATGACCTTGAACTCTTGATCTTCATGCTTCTGCCCCCTAAGTGCTGAGGTTACAGGAATGCACTACCAAGCCTGGCTCCATTCCAACATTCTTATCACCTGATCTCTTTTTTAATTCTACATTCAATCCAGGGAAATTTGTATCTCTAGATTTTCCAGCATAGATCATGGCTGAGTTTAGGTTTCAATCATCAGTCCTAGCTGTTCATACCATCACATTGAGTCGAGAATCTCTCTGAAGTACAGCATATTAATATGTTCACTTTGCTCTAAAATTACATTTCTCCCTCTTCAGACCTGCAATGTTATATTTTATTTCCATACTTGTTTCCTGGAATTTTGCCAACAAAAATTAGCAATATAAGCCAGGTGTGGTGGCACATACCTGTAGTCCAGCACTTGTGAGGCAGAGACAGGTGGATCTCTGTAAGTTCAAGGCCAGCTTGGTCTACATAGTGAGTTCCAGGCCAGCTGGGGCTACAGAGAGACCCTGTTTCAAAAAAGATAAAAAAAAATAGCAATATAATGTTATTCTCTTTCTGTTAAAAAATTATCTGCCTAGATTTGAGAATACAGTTCTACATTTAGAAGCAATGAGAAGAACTAGATGTGGGACACTGTGATGATAAACCTTGATTATCAGTTCAACTGGGATTGAGAGATGTACAGGAGCTTAGTAAAGTACATCCTTGGGTGTGTCTGTGGGAATGTTTCCAGAGATTATTCACTAAGAGGAAAAGACCTGC